AGGAATCCTATTCTACCAATGAGTCCGTCTCGGTATATCCCTCTTACCTATTTCTGGCTCTAAATAATAGTGTTTGCATTGCTGTGTTCGGTTTTGAAGAGACTGTACGACATTCCGGTTCATTAGTCCTTAGAAGTAACGACACATTTGTGGCCTTTCTTGTTTGAAGTTGACTGCAGATGCTCATGGACTACAGTAGCCACGCACCATCAGGTTGGCCGTAAGCCCGTTTGTAACTTCAGTTAATTCGCAATAATAATTTAAGATAAAAAAACTTAAGCAACACACATTGACCATGAGCTGTTATGATCCTGATAATTATTTTATCTTGGTGATCCGGTTTAAATAATCTTAGTTTACTAGTATGTATGTATGTTTACCAGTATGTTCTAACATCTCAGTCCCGCCTATGACCACGGGTGCTGTGAAGTACTCGAAACGTCGGGTATATAAAAAAGTTAATACACGCGATAAGATCCGTGAAAACTAGTATTGTTTAAATGTGTAATGTTCTGGTGATCCTTATTAGCTTACTAGGATAAATTATTAAATTATGTATTATATAGTATTGTCATCGATTCTAGGTAGAAGTGCGATTTTCAGCTCAACCTGCCGTCTGCAACTTGGTGAAAATTACTTACATTAAAATATTTCGTTACATAGATAAATATTACACGCGAAGCTAATAAATGCGTTAGAAAAAGGAATGTTTATATTTTCTTTACAACACTGTAGACTCGTGGATATTCAGTAAAGTTGAGTTCAGTCACTAAAGATTGTTTAGCTACAACGTTGTAAAGTAAACAAAGCTTAGATTTGTTTAATAGCGAGTAGCGTTTAATATTTTGTCGGCGCGTCCATAAAATACCAAATGGATCGAGAGTGAGTGGGAGCTTGCATCACTCTAGCGGAGTGTCATATCGATGGTGGCGTGGTAGAATTGAGGGTATGTATAGAAAGCCCAACAGTTGGTGCAGTATAAAGTTCACTGTAGGTGCTAAGATAGTATCGTGGTTCTGTCCTTTGTGGTGGTTTTTCTGGTGCAGGCAAGGGAGATGGTGTTGCTAAGAGGCTGCCCTGTGTTACATTGAAATGGGTAGTGTTGCTGTTGACCTGCATGCTGCATGGTGTTATCATGTAATTACGTCCCTCACGTTACACTGCTGTGTGATTGCGACGGGGATATATTACGGTGTGGTCGAACTATAAGTGCTCCATATTGAATGTATAGTGCATTACGCTGTTTTATTCCTAACAGGAGGAGAGCGAATTGAACATCGGCGCTCACACATTTTATTATTTTTAACAAATAACCTCCTGATGTATTTCCGACATATTTAAAAATTGGAGAATATTTCCGATATAATATATTTCTGCGAGATAAAAAATACATAATTGTAATGTGAACACTTACTCTCTGTAGTATCTATCTAGTTGCGGTTACCCAGACAAGCTCTTTACCAAAAATTATAATTTTTCATTATTATAACGTTAGTAATGTATTGAATAAAATTAATTTTTTCAACGTATTTTATTCGCTAGATAGTCCAAAAGGCATATACTAGAAACTTTATCTCGTGCTTAGTTGTAACTGTTTTCAACATTTATTATATAAACATAAACACTCACGCCTGTCACTCAGAGGGTTAGGCAGAGACTACAGACTTCCATTTGGCACGATCCTGACACACCTCTCTCGTCTCCTCCACATCCATATACCCCCGCATACGTGCTCGTTGGTTAAGGGTACTTTTAATTTGGCTTACTTTCGCCTAGGATGTCCCATTTATTATTTTATTTTATTTGTAAATTTGTTTTTGTAAATTAGTAAATTATTGATTTTAGTTATTATATCGATTTTAGTTATATTTAGTTATTGTTTGTAAGTTAATAAAACTGTGGAAGCTTTGTTGGTTAATGTTTTATTTATTAAATATATTTTTATAATATGTATGTTCTCTTAAATAAAATTAATTAATAAATTCGCATAAATAGGAACCATCATTGGATGTAATGTATGATACAACATCAAAACATATCATAATGATTTCTTTAAATGAAACTAATTTTTACGAATTTTATCGCGTTTAATTAAACTTTTTAACTCCCGACATTTCGGGTGCTTTAAGCTGAACGAACATTTGCCAGCATCATACGCGCCGTACGCGCCGTACGCGCCGTACACGCCGCATTTTAGAATTCATTGCACATTATAGCCGCACAGTACGCACCGATTTTTATAAAACGCGGTTGGTATCCGAATATGTAAGGACACATGCTGGTAACGTCATATAATGCAGCGCGTTCGGCGCGTGATGATACTGTGTTGTCTAATGTTACCAACTTAGCGAATTTTCCGCTAAAACTGGTGGTTTCGACTTTCGTTTCGAAATATACTTTACTTCATTGCAGGAGCATTTTCCTTTACCGTGTAGGCAACAATGACTCGTCACAAAAGACTTTTTATAACTTTAATTAATACGTAATTAATTATACATAATTTGAAAAAAAATTCATCGATTGTCAATATTAACACTTAACGACAAAATAATTTAAATACAACAAAGAAATGATAATTAATTCTAAACCACAAACCCAATTACACCTGATTACTTAATTATCAATAAAAATACTTACCTCAAACATACCACAAGTCTTTCCTCTAGTTCAATTGGCCTTCTAAATCTTGAGTTTTCTCCATAGCGAGATATGGTATATGTAGCAATTATTGAAATTTCTTGTATGTTAAATGCAAATATCTGAAAAATCGTTCATCATCATGTAATAATTTTTAAATAAAGTATAATATTTTCCATACAACTGCTTTTTTAAATTAATATTATAAATCCAGAATCTTCTTTTCTTCGAATTTTATTTTTTTCTTCCTCTGCCAATAAGCATGCCACTACAACAATTTTTTCGATATACGATCCGAGCGATCAATGTCACGGTACCGTTTCACATCAGTGGTTGTAAAAAACTGTAAAAGTTGTTGGTAATACCAAAGAATTGCGTACGGCGCGTATGAATCGTGACATATAACTCTAGCGCTGAACGAAACGTGGAGGGGATAGCTGCGAAAGTCGTATCAGTAAAAAAAGTAAAGTTACAGCCTATGTATGTCCCACTGCTGGGCACAGGCCTCCGCTCATTTCTGAGAGGGTTTTAGGGCAACGAATTGTCCGCCGCGCTGCCCCAATGCGTGTTGGCGAACTTCACATGTCTTTGAAATATTTTTTTTCTTATTTCTCTGACATGCAGGTTTCCTCACGATGTTTTCCTTCACCGCCGAGCACGTGGTAAATCAGCAATTAAAATTGCAATTAACAATTTCATTGGTGCCGGTGAGGATCTAACCCGGTTTGCTCGCATACTGTGAAATTTAAAGCGAGCGCTAACAATCTGAGCTACCACGGCTCCTTATCGTCCTTGTCGTATCAGTACGGGGATAGAATGCGACTGGAGAGCCAATCAGTGCGTGCACACGATTCGCACAGCCAATCATACGCAAAAATGCGCAATACGATCAATTATGCGCAATTACGGTCACAGCTATCCTTTAGTGCCGCGAGTTGTACGTACAAATGTCCATCCGAATTTGCGGCGCATACGGTGCTTACATAGATATTGTTATACAGATATTAAAATTTAATTCGCAACCATTCGCTTAATTATATACAACGATGTGTCTTACCTGGATTGAAGAGCACCTACCGTCCTCCCTCAATTGCGTGCACTAATTCCGTCACCACTAGTCCCAGCACCATTACTCCCAACACTACTCCCAACACCACTACTCTCGGCACCACTACTTCCAACACCCTCCTTCCTGGACCAGTGTGGTACAAGCTCTGCTTCTGTATTTCGTCTGGTGAGTACAGGTTGCCGGAGGGACTATTCCCCCCACCTCCCACCCCTTAACATGGTAGCGGAGTTAAATATAATACTACTCCAGAAGGGTATCAGTACCCCGGTGACGGAAGTTGCGTAAGTCTCGCCGCATGCATTTGGGGATCTGTCTGTTCAGTTGCCTGTATGCTGTCAAATCTGTTGACGATTGCAGCCTCATCTCCCGTCTAACAGCCATGAGATTAAGAGTGTGATCGGAGAGTTTTTGTGTTCTTCTGCGACGGGTCTTGCAGAACTTAGCTCCGACCGCATGGACAGTTTCCACGAGCTTGTCATTCATATCGTACTGCATTGCAATCTTCTAGGCACTGAAAGTGGTTACGTAACTCGAGCTGAAAGGTTTCGGGATTCTGGATCAGAGCACGAGGGGGACGGAGCGTTGACTTCATTAGAAGAGACCTCTCCAACTTAACTTTTAGGTTCAGTGTGCCTCTAACCATTCGGTGATCGCTGCCGATTTTCACCCTTGCGATCACTGAGACATCACTGAACAGTTGGCGTCTGGTCGTCATAATGAAGTCGATCTCATTTTTTGTCGAACCGTCGAGGCTCGACCAGGTTCACTTCCTGTGGGGCCGCTTCTGGAAGAAAGAGTTCATCCTAAAGAGTCCCTCTTTCTCCATAAAGTCAGCCAGCTGCTGGCCCCTACGGTTCCGTTGCCCTACTCCAAATTTCCCTAAATTCAGCTCACCGCTTTCTCTTGTGCCTAGTTTTGCGTTGAAGTCTCCATCAACACCGTGTAGTGGGTTTTGGAGGAATGCATGGCTCTAGAAATATCCTCATACATTTCCTCCACCTCCTCATCTGGATGTGCCGAGGTTGGTGCGTAGACCTGTATGACCTTCAGCGAATACCGTTTGGTGATTCTGAGTATCAGGTACGCGACCCTCGTCGACACACTCCCAATCTTTACAACGGACCATAAAGTGTTCTTAAAAGAATACCTAATAGTGAAGAAGTTTTCTAAGCAATCTTTAACTTTATCACGATATCCGTCTGAACTTTTTTACGAAACATTCATTTATAAATCAGCGTAGTTTTGCTCCTTATATATCTGGAGTTTTCATCCATTAATAATGTTATATATATTCCTAGGGTGAGACACTAATATATTCTGATTTATCAGTCCATTTTCTTTGTAAATGTTTCTTTCTTTGCTTCTATTCCAGACAATAAATAGGAAGTAGATTTTAATTAAACAATTAACACATAAAAACTAAAGATATTTTCTCTTATTTATGGTATATTTAATTAACGAATTATACATAATATTTAGAATTATTATATTTCAAATACTGCATTTTAATGTAAGTATTGTATTGTGGTGGTGTAGGTCGATGCTTATGGAGTAATGGTGACTGGAAGGTGATTGTTTTATAGAATAAAGGTGACAAACGAGCACACAGTCCACCAGATGGTAAGTCGATGCTGTGATCCATAGATATCTACGTAAATACTTGATCAAGAATAAAAATGCAGATGTATTGTTACTACCCTTGAGTACTAAGATGAAATGTCTTGTTCCCAGTAAAATGACTCTTCGGTTTTCTTACCATACGAAATACAACAGCACTAAGCTTCTATCTTACGCTGGTATTCTGTCAGAGCGTAGTCCTTCCCTGATTGAGCCGATCCCTTCGTGCTGCAACCATAACATATATGCAGCGTGCCTCTACCACGCGTATAAAAGATATAATAGAAACAATAGCTTTTTATTTACTCCAAAGTTATCGATTACGAATGACTGAAGTAATTCGTAATGAAACGAAACAAAATAACACTGAAGTGCAAAAAAACGTTGACGGAATTATTTTCATTCACATTATCTACCTATAACGTTTAAAGATATTATTAGGTTTTGCTTTATATAGAAAACATATTTTTATTTTTCTTTCTTTCACAAAAGTTGACGGTTTGACCTTGCCTAAAGTATTGATTTTAGCTTGAAGTGACATAGCAATACTTAGAATTTAGGCTGTTAATTTTAAATCTAGGTTCGACGTACTAGAAAGAAGAGTGTATACTCGTCTTTATAGTACATCGGCCTTACTTATAAAAATCGAAAGCAATTTAAAAAATAAATTTGCTCTCTCTTTTCACTAAATGTAAATAGAAACAGACAAGTATAGAAGTATTGAATACTTAATTTAAGTAAGCGATAGTCAACGATTATAATTAAAGCTGATAATGTATAATATCAATCAAAATTTGATGGATGATGAGGTGATAGTCAGATATACTGAATTCTGATCCCCAGTTTTTAAATCTTATCAAACTCATTAGAGTTCAATTTTGTGTAATATGCATTTTATTTTTTGTATTAACCTAGTTTTATAAATTACGGAAATATCATATTTTAGGCTAAGGACTTATGGAGTGATATTCACCTGTACCCGAAGCGATAACTTTAGGTCCGCGACACGCGTAGAATATAATGTTGGTCTAATGTTGGTCCTTAGACCAACATTATATTCTACGCGTAATAATAAAAATAAACAGCGTCAAAACTATACCTTCCAAATAGACTATAGTTTTCATACGCTATTTATGTCCGCAGCGTATGTGGTTGTTTGTAGCGGCTTTACTTTCATGTTTACGTGCTGCAACGGTAGGCAACTAATTGAATTGCGCTGGTCGCAGTCGTATTCCACTATTTCTTTCCTGTATCGGTGAATGTATCCAAAAACTTTATTCAAAGTCATATAATCTCTATTTTATCTTGTTTTAATGTAGGTTTATTTAAATAGGTATCTCGTAAGTTTATTTTATGTTTTGCCTTGGCTGGCACCGACTCCAATAATTACTGGTTAGGTAATATATATTGAAATAATACTTATAATGTTTAAATATTTATATTATTATATAGATTTCGTGTTAAAATAAATAAATAACAGTAATTGTGTATATTTTCAACATACCAACATAGGCCGCTCGCCCTCATACAATATGCGGTTCGGTCGAGCGACTGATCCGCGTCGTCGCTGTCGTCGAGCGATAGTTTTGACGTTTGATATACCAGGTACCGGTATATATAGTTATCGATAGAAATGGCAAAGACTAAATAAATCTATTATTCAAAATTTCGGAAATATCGGGAATACATCAGAAGGATTATCGTTAAAAATAATGACAGTGTATGAGCGCTTACGAGCTTTTACTTACTATCTTGCTTACGCAATTGTTCATTATCAGCAAGAAAACAGAGTAATGCACTATGCATTCAGTATAGAGCTATTACAGTTCGACCACACCGTAGTATATCCCCGTCGCAATCACACAGCAGTGTAACGTGAGAGACGTAATTACATGATGACACTAAACTATGCAAACCAACATCAACACTATCCATCTCAATGTAACAATACCATCAAGGCAAAGAGGCCTGCACCAAAAGAACCGCCACAACGGACAGAACTCACGATATTATCTTAGCACTTGTAGAATGACTTAGGCGGAATCTCTTGCGCACGACGCTTACAGTGAACTTTATACTGCATTCCACCTCGCCACCTTCGTTTGACGTAACAAGTACATATTACCTTCGTTTGACGTGACAAGTATATATTGTGAGCTTTATTATAATAAAGTTTCATAATAAGTAATACTTCTATACAATACACGAGTAATAATATGTCGGAAATATAGGGAATACATCACGAGGATAACGGCTAAAAATAATAATAGTGTGAGAGGGGATGTTTAACTTGTTGTCCTGCTTACGCAATTGTTCATTATCACTTATCAGCAATAAAACAGCGTAGTGCACTATATAATAAATTATTATTATTATGTGGGGGGTATCAATATAGTTTTCTCATCTGGTTGGGTTCTATAAATATATAATTATAAATTAAAATGAAAAGATAAATATACATAAATATAAATAAAATAAAATAAATAAAAAAATACACAAATAAATAAAGATCCAACCAGATGGAAGCCCTCGGCAGGGGGAGACCAAACGGCCGAGGGTTAGGGGGAAAGGGAAAGAAACCGACGGACGATGCGGGCGGTATCGAGGACCACTGCCTTCTGCATTTGAGCCAGGAGCGGTCCGTCACGGAGTCCCAGTCGCCTCAGATGACCCGAGAGGCTGACTGGGATTAGCCCATTCGCAGAGACGACTACAGGAATAATTTCGGTCGGCCAACCACCCCACATGTCGGTCACCTCGTGAGCCAGGTCCAGATATTTTGTTCGCTTATCTGTTTCGGCTTTCACGAGGTTCTCGTCATACGGGATGGTAATATCGACCAAAAATATCCTTGGCTGTGCCCGGTCCATCAGCACAATATCAGGCTTATTTGCAAGAATAGTCCTGTCTGTGATGATGGCCCGGTCCCAGTAGAGCCTGGCGCGGTCATTTTCGAGCACGGCTTCCGGCAAGTACTTGTAATACGGCAATTTCCGGTCCACGAGACCGTATTTCAGAGCGAGCTCCTGGTGTAGAATTCTGGCTACTAGGTTGTGCCTGTGCAAGTACTCAGAGTTAGAAAGCGCCGAACAACCGGAGATGACATGCCTAAGTGACTCCCCGGGATGGCGACAAGCTCGACAGACGTCGACGGTGCCATCCTTTAGGATGTATCTCCGATAGTTGTTGGTCTTAATAACCTGATCCTGTATTGCACAGACAAAACCCTCGGTTTCCCCGAAGAGGTCACCGAAACGTAGCCAGTTGAGGGAGGCGACTGTATCTACGAAGGGCTCATGTAGAGCCCTGTAGTACCTCCCGTGGAGCTCCTTCTCCTTCCATACGGTCTCCCGGTCGGAAATGCTAAGCACTGCTGGGTCCTGCCATTGCTCGTTGGCCAAGGATAGAGGGGTAAGCCCTTTATCACTAGAAATGACGTCATTATAGAATGGATCATCCGATCTCGCCAGGAAGTAATCACGGAGGCTGCACACTTCACGATTATGCATAGTGAGCGCGCTCAGAAAGCCACGCCCACCATGCTTTCGCGGCAAGTACAGCCTCATTACCGACGATCTCGGATGATGCATCCTATGGGACGTCATGGTAGTGCGGACTTTTCTATCCAGGGCGTTAAGTTCAGTCTGAGTCCACCTGAGTATGCCAAAGGTATACATAAGGACAGGTATGACCCAACCGTTATATGCGTGTGTCTTATTCACACCGGACAAAAGGCTATTAAGCACTTTGGTCAAGCGTGCATAAAACACGTCGCAAACTGACTGTTTCATACCAGCCTCATCGATACCGATGTTCTGTGACATACCCAGGTATCGGTATGTTTCAGCCTCGGAAAGGGTCCTTAAGTTGACGGGCATAGATAAATCTATGCCCTCAGAGTTAGCAACCCTTCCCCTCTCAACATGGAGGACCGCACACTTATCCGTCCCCAGCTCCATTCTAATAGAATTGCTAAATTCACAAGTGATGTTTAGCAATTCCATAAGATGGGAGCGACTGGAGGCGAATAACTTAAGGTCATCCATATAGAAAAGGTGGGTCACTTTTGTCCCTCCTTTTCGAAGCTGAAATCCCCTCCCGGATCCCTCCAGTAAGGTACTGAGAGGGTTCAGGGAGAGGCAGAACCAGATTGGACTCAGACAATCGCCCTGGAAGATACCCCTTCTTATCCTTATGTGGTTCTCCGCAGCCATCATCCGCTCACCCAGATGACAAAGGATCGTACTCCACTGCCCCATACACTGCTCGAGGAAGTCTCTCACTGTACAGTCTATCTTGTACAGCTCGAGGACTCTCTTTAACCATGTATGGGGCACCGAGTCGAATGCCTTTCTGTAGTCTATCCAGGCGGCGGAGAAGTTCCGACGGTTGCGTTTCACCACTTTGCCAATGACCGCGTCAATGAGGAGTGGTTCCTTAGTTCCACGACCACCGCCCCGACATCCATTTTGAGCGCGTGACATCATCTGATTTAGCTCCAGGTGACGAGTGATTCTCGCGCTCAAAATGGATGTCAGTGTGTTATATATAGTGGGTAGACACGTAATGGGGCGGTATTTGCTCGGGTCTGTGGTAACCTGGTCTTTAGGAACCAAATGAGTGATCCCAGTAGTGAAGAGGCTAGGGAGCGACTTCTGGTTGAGAGCCTCTTGAAACTGACGGGCGAGCACAGCGTGACACACCATGAACCCCTTCAGCCAGTAGTGATGCAGTCCGTCGAGTCCCGGACTTTTCCAGTTCGGGGCTCTACGGACCGCCTCAGCTACGTCATCCGGCGTTATGATGACGGGGTCCATGGGCGTAATCCTCGCACACTGACTCGCCACAACTTCCGTCCAAGGGCCCTCGCTGTGGTTTACGGGTTCTGACCACAGGCCACGCCAAAATGCGACAGTGTTAGCCTGGTCCGGTCCTGGGCCCGCTCCACATACCTCTGGTCGCTCCAATGATTTGTAGAGCCTCTTCTGATCACTCTGGAAGAGACGATTCTGGTTGAACCGCCTTGACCTCTCAGTAAATCGGCGAATCCGCTTCCCCCAAGCAGCAATCTTTTGCTTCAGGTCGTCTATGCGCTCCGTTAGTTTCTGCGTGATATCCGGCTGGGACAAACTGATATTTGTCCCAGCAAACGCCATTCTAACGGTGCGCACAACCCTCGGTCTATTATTACCCGACCTGAAGCTTATCAGTCTGCCGATAAGGGCCCTTGCCTTTGCGATACGGTCCTCAATTCTTTTTCTCCAGGCTGGGATGGCGCTACTTTGTTTAGTAGCGCGTCCAGCCATGGGAAGTCTGGCGCCAATAATACGGCAAGCTGCCACTGCGGCGCCAAAAAGAACTGAGTCCGTCTCGCAAAGGTCCCGGCTGGCTTCCAAATAGGTTACCAGCATTGGGTTAAGAGCCCTCACGACAGCCCGATTTCGCTTGCTTAGAGGTATGCGGGGAAGTCGCGGTCGATTTTATTATATTTAGGGGTATCTATATAGTTTTCTCATCTGGTTGGGTGCTATAAATATATAATTATAAATGAAAATGAAAAGACAAATATACATAAATATCAATAACATAAAATAAATATAAAAGTACATAAATAAATAAAAGCCCAACCAGATGGAGGCCCTCGGCAGGGGAGACCAAACGGCCGAGGGTTAGGGGGAAAGGGAAAGAAACCGGCGGACGATGCGGGCGGTATCGAGGAGCACCGCCTTCTGCATTTGAATTATTATTATTATTATTATTATTATTATTACTACTTCTATACAATACACGAGTAATAATATGTCGGAAATATAGGGAATACATCACGTGGATAACGGCTAAAAATAATAATAGTGTGAGAGGGGATGTTTAACTTGTTGTCCTGCTTACGCAATTGTTCATTATCACTTATCAGCAATAAAACAGCGTAGTGCATTATACATTCAGTATAGAGCAAATACAGTTCGACCGTACCGTAATAATATTATGTCCTTCTTAAAATCACACAGTAGTGTGACATAAGGGACGGTGTTACATGATAACACCAAAGTATGCAAAGCAACAGCAACACCACCTATCTCACTGCAGCTAATAATATACAACATATATCAAAAACCCTGTGGTTTCCTTTAAGAAATACTACCTCAAAGGCTTAGCAAGATCCTCTGTTATGTCGAAAATATTGCAGCATTAATTTTGATTTATATATATGGTAAAGTTGAGGACTGATCTTAAGTACTATGTGAGACGAAAACACGATTCCGTAAAATTTTCTCGATATTTTTATCTTTTACAAAAAAAAAACATTTTTTTTTCCATGATATTTGGTGAAAACTTACCTCTTTATGTCCCAAATACACTGGAATTTTGAAGATTTAAAATATTAATTTTATTCACCCTATTTTGACTCGATATCGAAAAAGCACCCTAATTTTCAATCGAAAATTCTCACGTCAAAACATCTGAATTTTTAAAAAAGTCTGCGGGCTTTTTGTTCGTTGAAATCTCTATTTTCTGATGGTGTATTAAAATATACATTACTATTGAAAACATTTTCAGAAAATGCAAAAAACGAAAAATACTATAATTCGATTTTTTTTTAATTTTTATGTACAATTTTGAGGTATTCATTATAATTTTTACTTTAATTACTCGAAAAACGTTAGGTTCCATGTTAGATTAATATCGTGTATCTCGAATACTACTGGCTAACGGTTTTTACAGCTGCTATGAAATAACAGGTAGTAAGGCCCAGACCCTCCAAGCCCCTTCCCCACTTCTCTATGAAATACCTTTTGATGGGCTACAATTTTCCGAAGGTCACTCAGGTATATAGGTATAATTTTAAAATAGCAATAAATAGGCATCTACGCATATAATTTAAAGAAAATTCGACAAATTTCTCAAAATTTTGTAGATGTCATATTAAATATTAACTTTATTAACTTATTTAGTTGTTAATTATAGTAGTACATTTCGACTTGCAATTTTTTGTTTATTAATCTAACATGAAACCTAACGTTTTTCGAGTAATTAAAGTAAAAATTTTAATGAATACCTCAAAATTGTACATAAAGATTTAAAAAAAAATCGAATTTTAGTATTTTTCGTTTTTTTTTTGCATTTTCTGAAAATGTTTTCAATAGTAATGTGTATTTTTTTTACACCATCAGAAAATAGAGATTTCACCGAACAAAAAGCCCACCGACTTTCTGAAAATTCAGATATTTTGACGTGAGAATTTTCGATTGAAAATTAGGGTGCTTTTTCGATATCGAGTCAAAATAGGGTGAAAAAATTAATATTTTAAATCTTCAAAATTCCAGCGTGTTTGGGATATAAAGAGGTAAGTTTCACCAAATATCATGAAAAAAAAAAATGTTTTTTGTAAAAGATAAAAATAAAAAATCAAAATTGTGGTTTTTTGGATTTTTCACAAGAATTTTGAGGTTATGGAGAAAAAAGTATAGTTACAAAAAGTTGTAGATCTTTTTATTATCTACAACTTTTCCATTTAAATTTTTTCTATAGGACTTGTAGTTTTGCCGGAAATCGAGATTTACCGATTTTTACCCTTAAAAACTCACCCCCTACCTCTTCCCAACCTCAGATCGCCCGTAATTTATTTTTCCTTTCATTTTAGTGGTATTCCCTTCCTTTTCTAATAGGTTTCATCCTACTTTAATTTTTTTGCGTTTTTAATTATTTTTGACGGCTTCGACCCTGGTCTACAATAGTGTTCTGTGTACAAATATCAACGTTCGAAAATATACCAAGCGTTAAGCAATCTACATTATGTGACGCTTGTATAGTTAATATAATATTATATTATATTGTTTATTAAAATAAAAAATGATTTTGGAATAGTGGCTGGAGTTTCCTTCTAAGGAAATAACAACTGTAGTAGGTGACTGCGCTATGTGTACCACTGTATATCTATGACTATATTTACCCGTATATTTTATACTTTTAACACATTACGAAGAATACATAACTTAAGAACTAAAATACAGAAATTGCAAGTTATTCTCTCTGTTTATAAAATGCGTGCGCTCGTGGTGTGTGTGTACCTGCCTAACTATCCACGACTTTTGCTGCAACTAGGGCGGCGCAACCTAATACTGAAATGTAATATTTGTCAGATTTCATAATGGGGAAGTTAGTTTGTTCGTAAAATTACATTTTAGGTTAATGTTTCTTTTTTTTATAGAAGAGGGGCATACGACCATGCGGCTCACCTGATGTTAAGTGACTACCGCCGCCCATGATCAACCGCAACACCAGGGGAATTGCAGGTGCGTTGCTGGCCCTTTAGAAAGGAGTAAGCTCTTTTCTTGAAGGTTCCCAGGTCGTATCGGTCCGGAAAAATTGCCGGTGGTAAACTATTCCACGGAGAGGTCGTACGCGGAAGAAAACTTCTTCTTCTTCTTTCTGTACTATTAGTTATATTTTATCGTACTTTATAGTATGTATTTTATAGTACTATCATCACCATTACAGCCCTTCACAAGACCATAGGTGCAGGCCAGGGAATGCCACAAAGCACGTCTCTGAGCCACCTGAGTTTATCTATACGTGGTAGAGCCATGCTGCAGTTATATTAGTAGTATAGTTGTAGCACGAATAGGTCGGCTCGACCGGGGAAGGACCACGCTCTCACAGAACACCAGTGTAAAATAGTAGCTTAATGTTGCTGTGTTTCGTGTGGTGAGTGTAGAGAACCGGAGACCCTTTTTACTGGAAACGAGGCATTCCATCTTAGTCCTCACGGGTGACAACGCATCTGCATTTTGATTTGTAATCGAGGATAGAAGTAGATGTCTATAGGCCGCAGCAACCACTTACCATCAGGTGGACGTTGTGCTCGTTTGTCACTATATCCTATATAAATAAACCTGCATCCAATAATTAGATTAATCATAAATAAACACAACCACAGATATTCATAAAAAAAAAGAAAAAAAAATAGTTAAGACGACACATCGAAAATGGACGTTTAAAATGGCTCCGGGCCATCACCGTACTGATCCGAGTGAATACATAATTTCTATAAAAACTTAAAAAACGCCGTCATAAAGTCTAAAATTGCGCAGCGCCCGCGACGATTAAGACCGCTTAGAAATTGTCAGAATCTTAAAATATTTAAAAAAAATATATTGATTTAAGTAATCAAAATAATGAGCAAGTAAATTACGAATATTGATGGTGTGAATATAGTTCAGTGATTCCCAAGCATATATATTAAGTAATTTCGTTGTAATTTCAATTAGATATAGTGATTTTTTAGAGGTGTTATCGCATATAACTATGATCGAGTCAAAATTATACAATCGTGTTTTTAAACAAGCAAATTCAATATAAAGACACGAATATACCTATATCAAAATTCCAAGTTCGTTAGTGGTGTCATAATCCCTATCGATCATATCATAATCCTATTCGATGAATGGAGAAGCATTTTTTCCGGTGTCGCTTTAAAATGTGCAAAAATTAAAGAGCAAACCACCATTAGAGGCATTGTTTTGTGTACTAATATAATAGGTACTCTAGAAACTGATACACTTTTATTTAAAACTAACTTCTCAATTAAATGACATTGTGTAACAAAAAACTTCACCTCAGTGTCAACTTTTAACAAACATCGGAAGATACTTCATTATGTCATAGTTCGAGCCGAACTACTATTATATTGTGTACTAACAATCTAAGTCGCAGTTTAAGGTACTAAAACTACATTATTTTGTTTTCATTTTGCTTTATTACTTGTAATATAGGCTGTGTTTTTAGTATGATCTGTTTTATATACAGATTTTTCACCGAAAGTAATCCCCTATTAAGATAAAGTCTTTTTGTGGGATATCTAACGTTTTTAAAGTAGGTACATAATTTTTATTACTACATATTAAATTTAATTGTTCTATCATCTTCATGTAATATTATGTATTAATAGTATTTATTTACATGCAAATACAAATTTGTCTATATATGAAAAGTGACACAAAAATAACATATGCACTATTCACAATACGTAATTATCTGTGCTTAGTTTCATCAATATTGGACTATTGGATATTTGTTTCTTAGCTCCGTTCGAAAAAATACTTCGAAGTCATGAATAAAACCGGCCACATACAGTCGGGATTCCATTTCGAGAAACCGTTTCGGAATATCGTTTCAGGATTCCGAACGCAACAAATCCGTATAAAATCAAGATCTATCACACGTACAGTAGTTTCCCGTACGCAATTTTCTCCAATTCGAAATTCCGCATGATTGCCACACAGCACACAAGTAATCCGAGTCCATAACATTAATATAATTTATTAATTATTGAAATTTTAAGTGCTGATTTACTACGTTTTCGGTAGTGAAGGAAAACTTTATGGGGAAATCCGCCAACACGCATTTGGAC